CCTCATATCGTATCACATCCAGCCTGCATACCCAGGAGGGCACGTTCATCATTCCTGTTTCACAGTTGAGTGCTAGAGGCACAGAGAGGTTAGATAAGCAGCCCAGGCTGCCCAGCTTGGATCGCAAGTGGCCACACCTGCATCAGACCATGTCGCCCTGAGCTCGCTGTGCGGTGTGGGTGTGGAGGGCCTACCCCACCTGTGTCGGCCTGCGCATGCTCGGGCGCCCAGACCAGACGCCCCGTCGTCCCCAGCCTGGCTGGCGGTCAGATGCTTAGGCCACAGGACCCAGGGCAAGGACTGCTTTCCCTGGTGACGGGCTCCGGGCTCAGGGACATCTAGGCGAGGTGCTGGGGAGACACTGCTTGTTCTTTACCATGTGGCGTAGCCCCTTGGGCTGCGGGGGTTCCAGGCAGCTCCCACGTGCAGCAGACAGAGCCCAGGGCCCAAATCCAGATAGAAAAAAATCCCAAACCAGGTCACATGACCAAGGACAAGCTCAGAACATGGAACAGTACAAATGGGCCAGGGAAGTGGGGACTCCTGGAGGGGGAGTGGGGACCCCAGAGGACAGGCAGCCCGGGCATCGCCAGCTCTAGGGGGAGACGGCAGGCCTGGGGGGAGGGGGCAGGCCCGTGCACCCAGAGGAAAGGAGCTCAGGGACCACCAGAGGCATGGTGTCCAGGACGCTGCAGGAACCGTTCCCTGAGGCTCCGTGGAACACGCCAGCCTCCAGGCAGCTTGGGGCTGCGGGGTGGCTCCAGGTGACGGGAGGCTGGGCTCTCAGCCGCATCCCGTGAGGGCCTCCTTCCTCTCACCGCGCCCCGTGGAGCCCGCGGGACTTCCCGGCAAAGGTGCAGGAGCAACGTGGTGCTCGGGCCCCAGGGGAAATCCTCACTCTGCAACTTCCGGCTCCTGTCCAGGAGTAAGATAGACCCCCCTGAGAGACTGAGCTCCCCGCATGCCCCCCACCATTGCCCACGTAATCCCCACAGGGCAGCCCCCCGAGCTCCGTCCCCAGGCACCCCCCTCCTTCTCTGGGACAGGCGTGCAGGTCCCGGGGTGGGAGCTGCCGGGGTCTGCAGTGCTGAGCCCTGAAGCACGCGCTTCCCTCCAGGAAATGAGGACGGGCCAGAGGCCGCCCTGCGGAGAGCCCTGAGGATGAGGAAGGACCTTCTGCAGAGACTCTGGGTAGGCCACGTGGCCACAGGGAGCCTTGGCCCGAGCTCTCTGCAGCTGAGACTGCGGCCTGAGCTCAGAGCAAACACGGGCCAGTGGAGGTGGGGGCCCTTCTGGAACCCATGCTGGTTCTGCCGTTTGCGACTTGGGGGCGGACAGCTGATGGGCCGTGAGCAGCTGAGGGGCGTCATCCCCGATCACGGACTCCAGGGAGAGAGGAGAACTTACCTGTTTCCCGTCGGCTGGGCTCTCACAGGGGGCTGTTAGCTGAAAAAAACTGCTCTGTTTGCACATGATCAGAGGTGGAAGTGCCATGTGAAGGGTGCGGTTCCCCTGGAAGTGGGATTCCAAGATGACCAGGGCTTCGTCCAAACCAGAGGCAGCAGCAGCAGGGAATGACCATGGGAAGGGGTGCGTTCGGGTCCAAACGATAGTTGTGATAAACTCACTGCTTTGTGGTGAAGTCGACCTGGAAGCATGCTGGAGAGACAGAATATCCTCTATAGGCTGGAAAAAGTCGTTCGGGGTCAATTTCTCCTGTGTGCACCACGCAAGGGCCTTCAGGCTTTGCCTCCAGGGCCTGGCTCCAACTCTGACCCAGCTGCGCCCTGGGCCTACCATCTGATCATGCGCCCGGGTGGGGTGGGAGGGAGCCTGGTGCACGGGGGTAGCAGGTGGTCCTGGGGCCGCTCCCCCACTGCGGGGGCCACACGCCTGTGAGCTGGCGCTGTCGTGCCAGGCGGGGTGAGGGCCTGGGACACGCCAGCCCGCTCCGGCTGTCACAGCTCCCTGCCTCCAAGCACGGGCTCTGCTTTGGCGTTGCAGGAACAGCACCTCCTGGAAGAGGTCTCCCGGGCCCGCGCCTGGAGGGGGCTGGACGGAGGAACCCGTGGGTCAGTGCTGCCCCCAGAGGTGCCCCCCGTGGGTGTCCACCCCGCTGTCTCCCCGGCCGCACCCACCCCGGACCCACTGCAGATCACCCAACACCCAGTAAGTCTTCCTCGCGGTGAATCTGGGGGGCAGAACCAATGCAGGGAGGGTGCCACTCCCCCAGAGACCTCTCACCTAAGCAGGGATGGCGGTGTCCCCACACCTCCGTCTCTCGCCTCTTTCAGCACCTTAGGGAAGTGCGCGGAAGGGGCCGTGGGCTGAGCGGCGGCCGTGGCTGCATTCCGTGTCTGGCTCTGTCGGGGCTAATGTGTGTCATCAGGCCTCACAGGTGCCCTGAGAACTGGCTGGGGGTAGGGGGTGCTTATCTCATTACAGGTGAGAGGTAGGGGTCCCAGCTCCGCCCCACGTCCTAACCTTTGCGCTAGGAGCAGAAGTATTAGGAGGTTTCAGTATCAGGAGGGCCTGAATTTGGGGAAGAAGTGTGTCAGCTCCTTTCCCAAACTTCATAATGACTGGGGAAGCTTAGCCCCTAGTCTCCAGGGCAGAATTGTAAAAGGTGGAAGACTGTTCCACTTCTGAGAGCCTCACGCCTGCATTCAGCGTCCTGGGTTACAAGCGATGGAAAGCAGCTCTGACTTTCTTAAGCAAAAGGGATCGTATTGGGGGCAGCTGGATGCCCAGAGCAAGGAGGGGTGGCAGCTGGGGCCTGGCGGGCTGTGGCCTCGGGGGTTGAGTGCATGAGGAGAAGACCAAGCAGGAGGTGGGCGGGGCCAAGTTGAGAAGGTTCTGGATCGGCTGGCCAGGGAGGTTGGTGGTGCCCACAGGCTGGGTCCGTGACCTGGAGGGCGTTTATCCTCTGGGAGGGGACCTGGCAGCCCACGTGGAGGGAACAGAGAGGGAAGGGGCGTGCCAGCAGAGCCCCCAGAGCCCCCTTTGCCCCAGGAATGGTGGGGTGAGGGTGTAGGTTCAGGAGCTCCCCCAGTCCCAACATGCACATACTTACTGCAGTTCCTCAGGCCCAGTCATGCTTGGGTGTTTCAGTCTCAGCCCCAATGACACCACGAGAGCAGGCAGGGGCCTTGGTGGCTAGGATGAATGTCCCAGAGACTCTGGGGTAGGAGGTTCCCTCTGCCGCGAGAGCACCACCGCTGTGACTGCCTGCTGGTCTGTGCAGGGCGGGGGGTGGCCTGTGGGGGGGTGGCCGACTGTGGCTACAGGCCAAAGCTGGCTGCCACCTGTGTCAGTAGGACCTGTGAACTGAGAGGGGTGGTACACTTTTAAATGTTTGGGAAAGAATCAGGGGAAGAATGATAGTCTGTAACACATGAAAATGATATGAAACACACATCTCAGGGTTCATAAGTGCTTACATGTCTGGGGCTGCTTTCCAGCTACAAAGGCAGAGGTGAGCAGTTACAACTAAAGCCGTGTGGCCACAAAGCGGGAACGATACACTGTCCAGCCCTTTACAGGAAGCTTGCCAACCCTGGTCCATGCCATCCTTTCTGTGAACTGAGAGAGAAGGGACAGGGCAGGAGGTTAAAATAGAAATCAACGCCTGGTGTGCGCCCCAAATTTTTGTGCATTTATTTTAACTCAGGAGGGAAGCCAGAGGGTATTTCCATGCCAAGATCCTTGGATGCCTCTATTAAAGCAGAATCAATGGAAGCAGGGATGAGCTTAGCCCACTAAAGCCGGGAAACGTGGGAAGCATGAAAAATGCCATGTCTTACTCAGCTTGGGCTCCACTACAAAATAGCACAGTCTGGGCACTTAAACATCAGACGTTTACCTTCTCACCATCTGGAGGCTGGACGTCCCAGATGAAGGTGCCGGCCAGTGCAGTTCCTGTGAGCGTGCTCTCCTGGCTGGTGGGTGGCCACCTTCTCACTGTATCCTCACGGGGCAGACAGCTTCTGGTGTCTCTTTCTCTTCTTACAAGGACACCAGCCCTATCAGACTAGAGCCCCACTCTTACGACCTCGTTCCCTTTATCACCTCCTCATAGGCCTCATCTCCAAATGTAGTCACTTTGGAGGTTAGGGCTTCAACATGTGGATTTGAGGGGGGACAAACATTCAGTCCATAACATTCCATGTCCTAAGTGATACCCAGACTCAAATATTTATCTATTCAGCCATCTGTTTAACCTCTAAGATTTCTCATTTAAAGTCCCCCATGGATGGCTGGTGGATGGATGAGTGTATTTTTTAAAAATTTAATTAATTAATTAATTTTTGGCTGTGTTGGGTCTTCATTTCTGTGCGAGGGCTTTCTCTAGTTGCGGTGAGTGGGGGCCACTCTTCACTGCGGTACGCGGGCCTCTCACTGTCGCAGCCTCTCTTGTTGCGGAGCACAGGCTCTAGATGCGCAGGCTCAGTAGTTGTGGCTCATGGGCCTAGTTGCTCTGCGGCATGTGGGATCTTCCCAGACCAGGGCTCAAACCCGTGTCCCCTGCATTGGCAGGCAGATTCTCAACGACTGCACCACCAGGGAAGCCCCTGGATGGGTGTATTGATGGATGGATGGATGGTGGATGGATGGATGGATGGATGGGTGGATGGGGGGATGGATTGATGGGTGGATGGTGGGTGGATGAATGGATGGATGGATGGGGGCATGGATGGTGGATGGATGGATGGTGTGTGGATGTTGGATGGATGGATTGATGGGTGGATGGTGGATGAATGGATGGATGGATGGGAGGATGGATGGATGGATGGGGGATGGATTGATGGGTGGACAGTGGGTGGATGTTGGATGGATGGATTGATGGGTGGATGGTGGGTGGATGGGTGGTGGGTGGTTGTAGGTCACTATTCCCGGGGCACATTCAGGTAATGGGTCGTCTGGCTCTTCTAGGCACCCCCGCCTCCCACCACCATCATCCAGCCTCAGCAGCCACTCATCGCACAGATCCCCCCTCCCCAGGCCTTCCCCACTCAGCAGTCAGGAAGCGTCAAGGAAGGTAAGTGTTCATAACGAATGTTGTCACGGGTTTATGCAATTCTCTACTGAAAAAATAGTTTTGTAAGCCGGGTAGTCTTTTAGGGCCAGCTTTTGACTACTCAACTGAAGCTATGTATTTACCAACATGAAAATAATTTCACTTTGAAAAATCCTTACTGATGGATATCCCTGAGGGAAGAAGCTTGGACTCAGATTTGAAAGAACTGTGTTCCAGCCCAACTCATCCAGTGATTAGCTTCAAAAAACCCTTGGTTAAACTGCTTTTTCTCTTTAAGTAACTTTTAAATACTTGAATTTTAGAACAGCTCTATTGAGGCGCCGTAGAATAAATTGCACACTGTTAAAGTGTACAGTTTGATAGTATTGACACCTGTACACACCTGTGAACCCATCACTAAATCAAGGCAGTGAACACGGCATCACCTCAGGCACCTTTTCCCGCCATCCTACCTGCTGTCGCTCTGCATCCGTCTGCGTCTCCTAGATTTTTGTGCGAGTGGAATCCCACAGTACGCACTCTTTCCCGTGTGGCTTCTTTCACTCAGTGGCACTGTTTTCAGACTTATCGCTCTTGTTGGGCGTAGCAAACCACGGCTCCTTGAAATTGCCCAGTGACCTTACATTGTGTGGATGGACTGGTTTGTTATCCTTTCACCTGTCGATGAACACTTGGGTCGTTTCTAGTTTTGGTTATCACCACAAAAGCTCCATGGACACTCACGTCGGAGTCTGGATGTACATTTTTATTTCTCCTGGGTAAATATCTAGGACTGGGACGGCTGAATCATGGCAGGCGTGTGCTTAAAACTGCCATGTGTGAGAGGTCCAGTTCCTCGACACCCTCACCTGCATGTGGTGCGGTCAGCCGTGCTGGCAGGGGTGGTAGTCGCTCACTGGGGTTGTAGTTTGCGTTTTCCTGGCGACGGGAGGTATTGAGAGTCCGAGGCAGACTTGTGTGTAGAACCACCCGATGAGTGTTCTCAACCCTGTCGCCGGGACTGTAGCACCACTGTGTACGTGCTACATGTCAGGCCTGGTCCGTGGCGGCCTGCAGCTCCCCAGGGGGACCGTTCTCACCGTGACACACAGGAAGGTGGCCTGGAGGTGCAGAGAGGACAGCCCGCTGGTCTCTCCTCACCACCCTCCTTGGTTTTTCCAGACGAACTTTAGTGACTGTCAGGCTCTAGAGGTGAACCCAGCATACCCTGTGCGTGTGTGTGTGTGTGTGTGTGCATGTGTGTGTGTGTGCGCGCGCACGTGCACGCAAGTGTCTGTGTGCCTTTAAAAAGTGCATTTAAAATCACTGGTAAAAATGAAACAGTAAGTAGCTAGTTATTCAGAAAAGTCAAGTCACATTCCTTACCCCACTCGTTATACCTAAACAAATTCCAAGTGGATCAAATATTTGAATGTAAAAATAGGGACTCTCCAAAGTACTACAACAACCCCTTTGGAGAACTGATGGGCTGCTTCCTATGAAGTAGATACGCGGCTTCTGGAGCTCCACTCCACCCCACTCCCCGCGACTGCTCTCCATGTCAGTTCTACCTTTTCGGAAAACTTCACAGAAAAGACACTGGTATAACGTCATACAGCAAATACATTTGAATTAACTCACCCTTTATTGTATCTCAGACCGTCCTCCTGGAATCCCTTCCTATCATCTGGGAACAAGTCTTTTACAAGGTCCTGCAGGACAGGCTTTTGAAGCTGCCTTAGTGATCACTTTCTTTTTATTTCCCCTTGTTCTTAAACACTAGTTTTGCTGGATATTCAAGTGTAGGTTGATAGTTATTTTCTCCCAACACTTTCTAAGGACCCCTGTGATAACATGGGGACCACCCAGATAATCCAAGATAATCTCCCTATCTGAAGATCCTTTTTAAAAAAAGTTAATTTAAAAAATTGTGGTAAAAAACACGTAACATAAAGTTGACCATCGTAACCATGTTTAAGTCGTGCTAACTACATTCAACATTGTTGTGCAACAGATCTTTAGAATTTTCCGTCGTGTAAAACTGAAACTCTGTCCCCAGTGAACAGCTTCCCATCCCCCTCCCCCAGCCCCTTGCGCCCACCAGTCTGTGTTCCACCTTCTTGATTTTGATTGGGCTACATGCCTCATAAGAGCGGAAGCACACAGTATTGGTCTTTGTGTGTCTGGCTTATGTCACCGAGCATAATGTCCTCAAGGTTCATCCATGTTGTAGCCTGTGTCAGAGCATCCTGCCTTTTTAAGGCTGAGTAATATCCCACTGTGTGGCTGGACCCCATTTTACTTATCCCTTCGTCCGTGGGCGGAGACTCAGGTCGCTTCCATCCCATCTCAAGATTCTTAACTTCGTCACATCTGCAAGTCCCTTTTGCTGTGTAACGGGACACATTCGCAGGTTCTGGGATCAGGATGTGGGCATCTCTGGGGCCATTCTTTAGCCACCACGCTATTCAGTCCCTCAGACTGTGGGCCCATTTGGGGGGGTGGGCGTTCCGTTTCTGCGCAGCTGGGCTGTTGCCGCAGTGCTTCTCTGCATGCCTTCTGGTGAATGGACGTGCTCGTGTCTGTGGGGCACACACCCGGGGATGGGATGGCTGCTTAGGAAATACCGCCAGACAGTTTTCCAAAGTGCCTGGACCCATGTGCACCCCACGGGAGGGGAGGAGAATTTCGGTTGCCCACAGCAACTTACCAACACTTGATGTTTTCAGAATTTTTCATTTTCACCAATCTGGTGGGCAGGCCATGGTAGCTTCTTCTGGTTTTAATTTGCACTTCACCTTTTCATATATTTTTGGCCACTTGAATATGCTTTTTTGTGAAGTTCCCATTCGAGTATTTTGCCCATTTTTCTTTCCGGTTTTCTGCTTCTCTTATTGATTTCTAGGAATTCTTTATGTATTCTAAAAATGGGTCATTTTGACATATGTATTGCAAACAGCAAGTCCTTTTTGTGGCCCTTCCACTCTCTTCATAGTGTGTGTCTCTGGATAAAAAGAAGTTCTTAATTTTAGTGAAGTTCAGTTTTTCAGGCTTTACTCTTTATGGTTGGTACCTTTTATGTCCTGTTTAAGAAGTCTTTACCCGTCAAGGTCAGGAAGATGTTCTTCTGTATTTTCTTCTGCGGCTCTGTTTGCCTTTCACATTTAGATGTACGATCCACCTGCAATGGATTTTTGTGTGTGTTGTGAATTAGGGATCAATGCTATTATTTTTGCCATGGATACCCTGCCCTTTATTTGACCCCCTGCCCTTTATTGAAGACTGTTTGCCCACTGCACTGACGTGTTCCCTGGTGGTGAGGCTGTAGATGTGGGTCCATTTCTCTATCCCCACATCTGCCGACTAATCTTTTCATGCTCGATTTTACTCGGGGGGACCCTGCGGGGCTGATGGGGAGGGCTCCCTCTCAGAGGGCTCACTGTGGGCGGGGCTTCCCAAGCCCCGACCCACGTGGGTCTCCTCAAGGGCCTTTGCCCCCTGTGGGGCTGCCAGACGCAGCTTCTGCACTAGCAGTCTGGCTCTGGCCCCCTCCCCAGAGCCCCCCGGCCCTGTGCCGACACCTGTGCCACTCAGGGCTCGGCAGAGAAACAGAACCAGCAGGGTGTGTAATTCAGCGAGAAAGACGTGCTTTAAGGAATTGGCCCACGTGATTGTGGAGGCTTGGCAAGTCCACACCTGCAGGGAGGTCTGGGAGAGCGGCCCGAGGGGGAGGCTGTCTGCTGCAGCCCCAGCTCCGAGGCGCCCGCGGGAGCCCCAGCCCAGGCCTGGAGGCCCCATCTGCTTGGCTGCATGTGTGAGTGGTCCTTAGAGGCTCGCTTTCCTTTGGTGAGGCCAACAGAGCCTGGAGGGCTACCTAATTTCCAGGGCCTGGTTGCTGTGGAAAGAAGCAACATTTATGTCCCACACTGACCAAAATTAGCGTTTCCTAGTGTCCCGAGTTGGTGAATATATTAGCTTCCTGGGGTGGCTGCAACAAAGCGCCACAAGCCGGTGGCCTAAAATGACAGGACTGTGTCTGCTCCCAGTCTGGAGGCTGAGCTCCAAACTCAAGGTGCGGCAGGTCCCGGGGAGGGTCCTTCCTGCCCCTCCAGCTCCTGGGGCTCCGGGCGCCCCTCCAGCCTCCGCCCGCCGCCTCTGCGTCTTGCCTCCTCTTCTGTCTCAGAGCTCCGTCTGCCTCTCGCTCAGGAAGACGCTGGCCTTGGGTTTAGGGCTCCCCTGGCTGATTTCATCTCAAGATCCTTAACATACCTGCAAAGACCCTTTTCCAAATCAGACCACATTCAGAGGTCCTGGGGATTAGCATGTGGATACCGTCGGGGCCACCACGCAGCCCAGCTGACGGACGAGAGGAATCCAGTAGCAGGAAGGCTGCGCCGTCAGTAGGGTTCAAAAGGATGCATCTGAGCACACAGCCCGGGACCCGCAGACCCACGGGCCTCCACGGCTGCTCGTAGAGCTCTGTGTCTGCTTCACCTGAGCTCCGTTGCAGGAGCGGCCCGGTCACCGGCGGCCGTCCGTGCGTGACCCAGCCCTCCGCGCCCCCCTCAGACGTGGTGGAGATGATGCTGATGCAGAGCGCGCAGATGCACCAGATCCTCATGCAGAACCTGATGCTCAGAGCCCTGCCCCCGTCAGCACTCGCACCCGCCCCCCCGCGCCTCCCCCCGCAGGTAGGCTCCACACCCAGACCAAGACCAGAGAACCTGGTGGCTCTTCCTCCAGAAATCCATGCACCTCTGTAGCTCTGAAAAGCATTACTGGCTCCAGCTCTGTGCTCCAGCTTGAAGCTCCCCAGCGCCCCCCAGTCCCACCCAGATGAGGAACGGGTTGACCAGTTCAGGGCCCAGACAGCGGCCCCCTTGAGCCAGATGAGCTCTGCTGGAGCCTGCCCCCCACCCTCCTGCCCTCCTGGACCCCTGCCCACCGCTGCTCTGACCCTGACCCCATCCTGAGTCAAGAACCACGTGGAGGGGAGGGGAGCCCAGGAGCAGCCGGGGGGCCGCTGAAATGTCCTGGTGTGTGTCATGCTAAGGACCCGCAGTGGGCTCGCCCCGCCGTCCTGCGAGCCAAGAGGCAGAAGCCGCCCTCTGTGTACCACCATCACCACTACGCGCCCGCAGCCCCGCTGCAGGCCAGCCCCACTCCTGGCTCCCCGGCGGGTTACTCCACGTGGCCCCCGGTGGTCTCCACCACTGCCCTCCCTCCTGCTGCCAGCTTCCTGCCCACCGTGTGGCACGTGGCCCGTCCCTCAGTGGCTGCCCTTGACACGTAAGTCCGGGCTGGGCTCCGGGCCAGCCTCCTGGGCCTGCGGGGCGGGAGGACCCCAGGGCCTGGGTCGGCCCTCCTCACCCTCTGTCAGGCCTGTAGCTGCAGCAGGAGCCTGGGGAGGCCTTGCCAGCTCCCGAGGGAGGGGTGTGGCAGGGGTGGGAGGTAACCCTGGCAGCCTCAGTCCTAGCTGCCACGGCTGGGTGTGGACCCCATGCCCTCCTCCCAGGGGAGCTGCCCGAGGCTTGGGTCATTTGTCCAGCCCAGCAGGGGAGGGCCCAGTATAAGCCCGGCTGTGAGGGCCCCCACGGAACCCTGGCGGCGAGACCCACCTGAGCGTGGTGTCTGTGAGCCAGCTGCATCCAGAGACACCCTCCTTCCTCTAGGGCTGTGTCTGACGGCATCCTGCCCACACAGGCTCCAGGCCTGTGACCCCACCGCGGGCTCGGGTAAGCGGCAGGGCCTCGTGCTCCCCCAGGGGGTGGGCAGCCGCGGCCCTGGATGCGGGGCGGGGAGGGTCACGAGGAGACACAGCTCAGGAGCCAGAAGAGGAAAGGTCGACTGAGGTAGCCACACGAACCTTGAACCTTGAACCTTCCTGGGGGAAACGCCACGAGCAGAGTGACACTCGTGGTGCCCGGCGGCCCAGGGCAGAGGCCCCGGCTTCTCACAGCAAGGGAGCAGCCGCAGGACATGTGCCTGGTGTGTCTGTGTGAAGGCAGAGCTGCAGGCCGGTTCACTCACGTAGCTTCTCCTCCTGAAGCCAAGCACCGGAGGCTAGGCCGAGGCAGGGCTGTCTTCCATCTGCCTCTGGCTGGATTCTCCCCACGGGACGAGTTACCTTTACTCCACTCTCTGCCCCTCTTTTAATTTTTTCTGGTGGAATTATGCTTCCTGGCTGCTTTAATATAATTTTCTTGCAAGTGCCATTTTCAAGTATTACGCATGTTTTCATTGGCCCCTTTTGGGATAAATGGTCTCTTTCCCCAAGTTCCACATGAGCAGGAGCCCTGCCCCAGCCTTGCATCTTTGGACCCTGGCAGTTGCCAGAAGGGTCGTCAGAGGAAGCGAGATGACCTTGGAATTGCCCTTTGGCTGCACACAGGCGCCCCCTGGGCTGACCTCGCCCCGTGCAGCTGCCCAGCGAGGGGAGGGCCGGGGCCTGGGTGCCTGAATGCAGCTCCTCTCGACAGACGCAGCTGTCTTCTTAAATGTGCAGTTAAACGTCTGAGCCGATTTCCTTATTTTCATGTTGATGTTTTCTTTCTTTCTTTCTCCCCCAGCAGTGCGGCCTGCGGGGGGCGGGGAATGGGCACCAGGGAATTCCCATTCAGTTTGACGTTTTCTAACATGGCTTTTCCCTTTGGTTTTATTGCTCAACGTAATTATTAATTCAATAGAGGGAAGAGATTTGACAGAAGTTCACCATGTTTGGATGGTCTGGTAAATTGGAAAAACTCAGTTTTGTTTACCTCCCAAGTCAGGAAAGCCCTGCCTTCCCTCCTATGTCTTTCTCACCTGTGAGTGTCCTTTACTTTCACACAGAACAGTTCATTTCCGTCACCAAATGTGTGGGGTTTCCCCACATCAAGCAGTCCTCTGTGACCCCCGCATGGGTGTCCTACAGTCCAGTTCTGACACCACCCACCGGGAGATGGTGTCGGATCCCACGGGTTAAGGGCTCAGTCACAAATCCAGGCTGCCACCTGTGTCCCCGTGGAGTGGGGTGTGTCACCCTCCTGGTATGTGGCTGTGTCTGCCGGCCTGGCCCCCCCGAGCCTTATGCTGTGGGGGCTGCACGGAGGCCTGATCCACGGGCACCTCCATCTCTAGTCCCCTCCCTACTCTGGAGAATGGGCGTGGGGCGGCGCTGTAAGCTCCAAGGTTCTCATCCTGGCTCGGTCTTCCTGGCGACCAGCCTCCACCCAGGAGCCGCCCAGAGTCACCTCATTAGGACAGAAGGGGCTCCTGGTGCTCCTGTCACTTGGGAATTTATGAGGAGCCCCACGTCAGGAGCCAGGGTCAGATACCAACATACATGTTTCCTACGACCGCACACCTGGCCTTGCTGGGTCAACCGGGTTGAAGGAAACATGTTCCTGAGTCCGGGAGAGTCCGGTGCCGGGAAAAGCCCGGCAAGGCCACCATTGGGGGGCCTGCAGGAGGGGCGGTCACTGCTGAGGAGGCCCCGGGCGGGAAAGCACCCCGAGGCATGCCACCCTGGGGAAGCTGAAGAGGTCTGAGCAGGCCCTGGGAGTGAGGGTGGGGCTGCTAGGGAGGCGGGTTCTGGGGCCCGGGTGCCGGGAGTACAGTGGTGGCATGGCGTGATACCGCAGCATAAGACGACATGTCTATCTGGTTTTGTCCTGGTTCCTGGCACAGAGCTCGTAAAACCTTTGGATTCCTGCGACTGTGCTAACGAGGTGACTCGGGCGCTGGAGAGCTTCAGGATGGGGCTGGTCGCCGGAGAAGCCAGCCCTGGTGAGAGGCTGGAACTCAGGCCCCGCCCCCAACCTCAGGGAGGGGAGAGGGGCTGGAGGCTGAGCCAATCAGCAGAGGCCAGCGATTTAATCAAGCCCCGCCACCCTAACAGAGCTTCCACAAAACCCCTAGAAGATGGGGCTGGTGAACACATCTGGGGGGTGCACCCCAGCTCCACGGGGACATAAGCCCCCAGATGTCACCCTACGGACGCCTCCATCTGGCTGTCCATCTGTGTCCCTTGTAAGAAACCCGTGTCTCCCTGAGTTCTGTGGGCCATTCTAGCAAATTACTGAACCAGAGGTGGGGGCTGTGGGAAGCCCTGGCTTCTGGCGGCGTTGGACAGTGGGTCCCCTGGGCTAGAGTGGGGGGCAGTCTTGTGGGCCTGACCTCCGCCTGTGGGGGCTGCACTGGCTCCAGGCACTTAGCGGCAAGTGTTGTGAGAAAACGTCCTTTGACCAGCTATGCCTGGCACCGTGGCGGGGCTGCTGGCGGGGGTCCCCTCAGCAAGATGTCGAGGACACGAAGCGAGAGGCGCTGCACGTGCTCAGCGGCCTGCGGACCTGGCACGGCACCTCCAGGGCGTCACGGCCTTGGGAGCTGAATCTAGAACACACCTAGGACAGTAAAGGGCTGGGGATGCCGGCGACACCCAGAGCAGGAGCCCTGCTCTGGCAATGCTGGGTTTGCAGGAAGCTCTGGGATGTGACAGCACGTGCCCGGGCGGGGTGGGCAGATGGCACGGCTGCTGACAGACCGTGGGGCGGCCTTCTCTCAGATTCAGGTCGTATTCTGTACTAAAATTCAAGGCATGTTTTCAACCATATATAAAAACACCCCAGAATTAATAAGAAAAAAGAAAAACCAGTAGAGAATGGGCAATAAGACCTGACCAGTCACCCTTCTGGTGGAGGGGATGCCGATGGAGAGGGTCACTGGTGACAAGAGAAACGCAGGATGGCCACAGTGCACATGTGGACACCATCCAAGCAGAGGGTCAGGGCACACGCAGGTTGCTCGGTACCTGACACCAGGTAGCAGGACCTGGGGGCCACTACTACGGCTGCTGGCGGGGACAAACCATCCAGCCCTGGGGAAACACTCATAGGCATCAGCTATACAGCTGGACCTCCCGCCTCCAGCTCCCAGCAATTTTGCTCAGGCCTGTGCCCAGGAGAAAACCTGCCTGTGTTCCGGACTTGACCAGAGGTTCTGGAGGGTCAGCTCCAGTGGCAGGTGGGGACCTCCAAATACTCGCTGATAGGACCAGTGGGTCTCAGGACCCCTTCAGTCCCTTAAAAAGGCCTGGGGAGAGCTTTGTGGGGTTAGCTTTGGTCTTTGCCATGTTAGACTTTAAACCGAGAACGAGCTTAACTGACGACAAATAGGTCACGTGGCCAATGATTCAGGAACATGACAGGGCCCGTGTTCCCAAGAGCCAGGGAAAGTCCAGGCTCAGGACACAAATCCAGTGGGAAACACGTTTTCATGTTTCTGAAATCGATTTATGGGAGAAACAAATTCTTAGAATCATAGTACTTGGGGTTTCAGGGTCTCCGAGAGGCTGTTTTATCGCCATGACCAGTTCAGAGCTCCTTGGAGGGTCTGTGGCACTGTGGTCAGTGCTTGGAGGCCCCGGGTTGGCTCGGCGCCCGCCCCTTCCAGATCTGCTCCCACCCGTGATGCCCGAAGCTTGTGCACAGCTCTGGATAAAGCTCTGGGGTAAACTCCTGGGTTTATTTTCATATTCACACGGCAGGACATACTGACAGGAGGGAGGCTTTCCTACAGGAGGATGGGACGTGGCAGTCGGGGCTCTGCCACGCCGGGGCCACGGCAAAGGGCTCGAGCACAGTCTGTGAGCAACTGCCTGACCGCGACCGATGGGTAGGGGTGGGTGACGGCAGGAGGCGGGCTGAGGATGCCCTGCGGGGGGTAGGCCTGGCCCTGCGGCCACCTCGAGGGTCAGCCTTGTCCCTCACCTTGCAGAGGCACCAAGCAAAGGCTCCAGGCCCCAGCGCTCCTGAGAACTGGATGGGACCGAATCCAGCAGGATTCCAACGGGAAGTGGGGGCAGGCCCACCTGGGCTGCTTGATTTGTCCTGAAGGGATGCAGACTTGGGAGATGCCTCTTTGTCAAAGGCAGAGACCCAGGGAGGAGGCGGCCAACACGCCCCACCTCTGCATCCTGAGCACTTGGAACTATTTTATTTACAACACTGAAAATAACACACCTACTGTGTCCTGAACAAAGAAATGAGTGGAAATTTCTCTCGCGTTTTTTGTTTTTGTTTTTGTTTTTTGTGGTATGCGGGCCTCTCACTGCTGTGGCCTCTCTCGTTGCGGAGCACAGGCTCCAGACGCGCAGGCCCAGTGGCCATGGCTCACGGGCCCAGCCGCTCCGCGGCATGTGGGATCCTCCCGGACCGGGGCACGAACCCGCGTCCCCTGCATCGGCAGGCAGACTCTCAACCACTGCGCCACCAGGGAAGCCCTTCTCTCATGTTTTAAGAGGCAAATTCCACTCGTGGAATTCAGCGCCTGCTAGGGCTGGCACTTGTGCAGCCCCACAGGACAGCAGTGGCCAGCAGGGACCTCCGCGCGGGGAGCCCTGATTCCTGGGGCCCGGGGGCGGGTATCCACTTTCCCTCCACACGGTGGCACTTCGGTCAGAAGAGGTCCCTGCTCAGGGGCTGAAGCCTGGTCCCTGTGTGCCTGCTCAGCTCCTCAAGAACCTGCTTCTCCTTCTGGTACATCTGAAAGAAAGGGGCAGAAACAGGTCCAGATTGGCCCAGAGGCCTGGCCTCCTCGGGCCCTGGGGTTCCCTCCCCGAGGCCCGGGGCCTCCCACACAGCCCAAGGCAGGCCACGGTCCCAGGGCACAGGGAGCACCGACGTGCTGCCCGGTGGTGGGTGAGCCCTGCAGCCAGCAGGGGGCTGGGAACAGGTGCTGGGGCGGTGGTCTGTGCATGAAGAGGAGCGCCTGCCTGGGTCGCAGGAGAAGGGGCCAGACTGGGTGGCCTGGCCCTGAAAGCACGGAGCGGGGGTGAGGACGGCCCCCCGGGGAAAGGGCAGGCCGGTGGGAAGCGCGCTGGAGGCTCTCCTGAGATGCTGCCTGCGTGTGGGGAGCAGTGGGGCTGAGCAGGGGAGCCAGGCGGCCACAGCAGGGCTGGGCAGGGGCGTGGGGGGGAGCCAGGGTGTGGCCCGTGTGGACCCAGCAGCCTAGGAAGGCCGGGGAGAGGCCCACTGCCCGGAGACTACCTCGTCAAGGAAAACATGCTTTTCTTCTATGCTGTTCAGGGAACCCATCTGATTACGAATGTAATTCGAGTTAATAAAACACAATACGGTGCATCTACCAACACAGACCTTCACAGACAGAGTAAACACTGGCAGCCTTCCAGGAAACAGAACTTTACCTAACAGGTCTGGATCAGACACCCGCACGCTCTAAATCCCGTTTCCACTGACAAATACCATCACACTGGCTCTTGTAAAGGTTTTTTAACTTTAAGCCGTTTGAATTTTATAGAATTTATGGAATGTAGTGTCTCTCCTCAGACCTTTCTTTCAACAGTGAATAAACAATGCAGTTAACAGCATTTAGAGCGTCCAATATTTAAGACAAACACTGTCTTTTTTACAAAGCAGGCATAATAAGTTCCTTATTTCACTGCGCTTCTCCATTTGGTTTTCACACTTGACTGCAAGGGGCAGGTGGTGCAGCCCCGGCTCCTGGGGCCTCGGGCTGCAATGCCCCCCGTGTGTGTGCTGGGGACAGGGGATGGCTCCTACCTTCTGCCACTCGGCCTCCGTGCTGTGTGTGAAGCCCAGCAGGTGACAGAGCCCGTGGGTGGCAGTCACCTGTCAGAACAATTAAGAAGCTGCCTCAGGGGGTGGTCAGGACCAAGCCATGAGCCAGGGAGGAGGGGCAGGAAGTCAGGGAGAGCTCAGTGGATGCCTGGTGGGAGGTTAGGAAGCTTCCTCCGGGCCCAGGCAGGGCTGTAGGCAGGTGGTGAGGTCACAGGGGTGGGGTCTGGGGAGTGGCAGTAGGCCTGGCCCATGGCAGGATGTGGAGATCAGGACCTCCTCTGGGGTGGGGAAGGGGCAGACGGGTGGGTAGCTGTGGAGACACGGAGGACCAGGGCAGGGGAAGGGGGAAGGTACCCCGGGCTGTTAGAAGGTGCCAACGTGCACCTGGGCACCAGTTGGGAGGACAGTGGCTTGGCCTGGCCCTGTGCCGGGGGATGAGGGCCCTAGGAGTGTGGGCTGGCCCTCCGCTGGGGGCAAGAGAATCCTCAGGAGGTGTGGGGGAGTGGAAGAGGTCCACAACTGCCCCCCAGCCCAGAGCCCCCAGGGGTGCACAGCTGCTGGCCACAGAGATCCCAGAGCTGAGACCTGTGCTGACTAGTCCTGTCTATGCTGCAGTTGCCCCAACTCCCAGGGAGAAAGCACACCCTCCTCCTGGCAGCACCCTGACGCCTGAGCACAGCGCGTCTTGCTGGGAAGCTCTAAGCTCTGCTTCAAGCCTCGGAAGCACTAGGCTCCCCAAAGATGATAATTCAGGGTGTGGCTGTTCGGCCAAAGGAAAACACCTCAATTGAATCCACAGGAACGTTAAAACACGACTCAATCACACATCACTTTCCAGAACACTCCCACCGCCCTTCGTGGCATCAAGCTGAGGAGACAGACCTGAAGGTCCTGGAGGCCAGAATCCTGCCTGCTTTGGAAAGTTCGGTAAGAAGCTCACGCAGCAGGTCCGAGCTGGCTCAGCACAGCCTGCTGATCTCCCCAGGTGAAGCTAAGAACAAAGCCGCTTTTGGGGCTCCCCCTTCAGTTATCCACGTAGATGCGCCCTGTCCTCTCCCCTCACCCAGCAGTGCCATGGGGCACGCAGACCCCACGGCCCAGGCTCTCCTCTCTGAGGGATGGTGAGAGGGTGCTGCCCCTGCCTGTGGGTCTCCCCCAGTAACCTCTGTCCTACATGAGGACGATGGTGTGTATGCCCGTGTCGCCTCCACCTCTTCTCATGGCCTGGATGGAGGACATCAGCCTTTGCTTTGCCAATCAGGATCTGTCATTTCAGCACTTACAGTCAGGATGTCATAGTAATCTTCATTCTCTTTGCAGTGCTGGAAGATATACTCCACTCCCAGGAAGATGTCTCCTAAATTATAGTCGTCTGGAAACTCAGGCTGCGGAATGTCCCCTGCTTTCAGGTTCTGAAAATGAGGAAACACACATTTGGAGAACTCGACCTCACAACACTAACCGACCACAGGCCTACAGATTTCACCCCGAAAGACCCTGTGCCGCCAGTCCCAAGGCAGACAAGTTGCGAACTGTGGCAGAGACACTGCACACGACTGACTGAAGATGTTCCCACCCTGTCAAATGAACCTTCCATTTCTTTCATCCTTCCTAAGGCACAACCACCCAGCTCCCTAACTTCTATGGAGCTAAATCACCACATCGATACAAGCTTACATTTCTGTTTTTTCCAGTTGTTGTTTTGTCCTAAACAAATAATCTTTCTCATTTTCCCACATAAAGACCATAAAGACCAGTCCATTCAGTTGAGGCCTGTTCACACTAAGCCAGTCACCTACGGCTTGATATTTAGGGTGTTAATATTTTTACTTCCTATCAGGAAGGATGATAAGTAGATACTTTAATACATTTTTATGTTACACATTGAACATTTTATTTTCTTCCCATTTATTTCCTTAGGTGTGACACTAGCGGATTAAACAGTAATCAAGATTTACTTCAAGAAATCTGCCAGATTGCCTTCCGAAAGGGCTGCCTCAATTTATGCTGTTACGAACAGTGTGGGGAGCCTCGGATCGATCATTCACATAACATAGGTAGTGACCTGATAGATATCACGGATTTGTTTAAAATAGTCACCCAATTCTGTCCTTTTATTCTCAGAGTTATTTAAAAGTTTTCCATCTATACATATGCATTATTGAGTCACACTTAAAACCGCAGAAGCACTTTCTCTTTAATTCACTGATACAGAACGTGGGGTCGGGGGGCAATCACCTCCCCTCCTCCAGCGGTAGGATCTGATCAATAGGGGATGGTCACACGGTACTCTCTCATTTTGTGTGTATTTGAAATTTTTCAAAGTAAAACTTAAAATCGTGTCTGTGGTATAATTAACAGGGATTTACAGAGGAAGGTAGGCCAGACAGGAACAGGAAAACAGCTTTTACCTCGTAAAATGGAAAGGAAAGCACATCTGTTGGGGTATTTTTGTCTCTGTAGATTCTATTAATCTGCTGAATCTTTCTGTTGTCGACACAGACGACCCCCAGGTCGAACCTCTGCACCCCCAGGGCTCTCCGCACCGCCTGCACCTTCTCGCGGAGCCGCGCCCGCCTCAGGGGCACCGCCCGCTGCAGGTTCCTCACAACCAAGCTCATCGCGGCCGGAGCCACTGCGCCCTAGAAAAGGCAGACGAATCAGAAAGCCATCCTAAATTCTGTAGAAACACCCGCGCGCACACGCTCAATTCATCTTGTTTGGTGGAATTCGTTGAAAAACGTCATGGAATGTGCCTTTCACCATAAGGAAGCCATAACACGGAAGGACGTGTACACGCCGTGGAGTCAGGCGCGCCAGACAGACGTCAACAGCCACTAGGAAACCGGGGCAGCGGGGAGGAAGGGCCCAACGGTGAAGGAGTGCACAGTGGGGGCGGGGCGGAGAGCGCCCCGTCGGCTCCGGGCCGCCCGCGGGGAACGCCCGCCGCCCCTCTTTGGGGAGGAGGAACTTACCGGGCGGAAGCCGGCGGGCCCGGGCCTGGACGCCGCGTACCAGAAGCTCCGCCGCCGCCGCCGCCCGGCCAGAAAGCGGAATCCGAGCGCGTCGGGGCCCAGGCGCGGGACGGACCGGAAGTGGGGCCGCGTAGCTTTCTGCTCGCTGCGCGCAGTGAAACGGTGAGTCTCTGGCTGTCGCGGTCCTTGCGGGCGGCTCCAGCCCGGCGCCAAGGGGCCGTGGGACGGCGGTTGGCGGCGTCCCTGAGCCGGACGTTGAGCGCGGCGCGGGGCCCGGGCGGGCGGAGGTCTCCCCCTTTCCCGCCGCCGCGCCCGTGTCGCTGACGGAGGGGGGGGCCAGGGGCGCCGGGAGGGCACTGGGGGCGCGGGGGGGGAACGCAGCGGGTGCGGGGCCACCCACCGCGCCGCCCGAGGTTTGGCTTGCGCTGCACCGGTGCCCCTGTCCCTCGGCGGTCTGGGGTGGGGCAGCCTCTCTGCGTGAGCACTCTTGTTCTTCAAGCCAGCTCCTGGGGGTAATCGCCCGCGTGTAAAAACGCAAATTATTTCTTTGTCTGGAAAGAGTATTTGGTGCTCTGGTTACTCGGAGAAAAATTAGACGGGAGGAAACACTGAAACACTAATGTTTTAACAGTGTTGCATTCTAATTCTCTGGCTGTCGAGATTGAAAGACGTCAGAAACCTCCTGTCTTTAAGTTGAAAAGAGTAACGGCATGTATTTTCATATTGTTATTTGAGGTTTTACCGTGAATTTACCGATTCAGTAAAATGTTTTGAATTTTTGTTTTTAGTTTTAGACGATCATGCTTTAAAGCTCCGTAACAAAGTAATTTATTTGTACCAACTTCTGCCCCGCGCTCGAAACCAAACCAAAACAAAACAGCCCCACCAGTTGGCTCTCAGAAAATAAGAATACTTAGCCCTTTGCTTTACCTGACATGTGATTAAAATTTCTTTTTTTAGTCTTCCAGCACTGCATAGCTGTGATGGTCTGAATTTTTGTCTTTCAGCGTATTGTGAAGATGGGGGGGGGCTCCCTAGCTGAACAGATCGTTTGAGGAAGGGGACTACTTCCAGTAATTGGATCAGAAGATGAATCCAGCTAATCCTTTCAGTGGGCAGCAGCCTAGTGCTTTTCCACCATCTTCCAGTGGTTCCATAGGGACGTTTCAAGCTAAGCCACCATTTCGGTTTGGTCAGCCCTCTCTTTTTGGACAAAACAATACATTATCCGGGAAGAGCCCAGGATTTTCACAGGTGTCCAGCTTTCCAGCATCTTCTGGACAAAGTCCTTCTTCTTCAGTGCAAACATTAGGATTCTCCCAAACCTCAAATGTTGGACTCTTTTCTGGACTTGAACACATTCCGGCCTTTGTAGCTACCTCTGGGTCTTCAAGTTCATCTGTGCCTGGAAACCCAGGATTTAGTTTTAAATCACCCAACCTTGGAGCATTCCCAAGTACTTCTACTTTTGGACCAGAGACTGGAGAAATAGCAAGCTCTGGTTTTGGGAAAACAGAATTTAGCTTTAAACCTCTGGAGAATTCAGTGTTCAGACCAATATTGGGGGCTGAATCCGATCCAGCGAAAACTCAGAACCAAATTACTTCTGGACTTTTTACATTTTCCCACCCAGTCAGTAGTGGACATGGGGGACTGGCCCCATTTTGTTTTTCTCAGGTGACAAGTAGTTCAGCCACCAATTCAAATTTTACCTTTTCAAAACCAGGTAATAATAATTCTTCGTCATCTGCCTTTACTTCTGCTTTGTCAAGTCAGACTGTGGAGGAAGAGAAGAGAGGCCCAAAAGCACTGTTTGCAAGTTCTAATAGTGGCTTTACTAGCTTCCCCATATCTTCTTCAGGGTCCTTGGGTGAACCCTTCCCAGTTAGCAAAACAGGTGTCAGACAAGGATGTGAAGAAGCTGTTTCCCAAATGGAGCCACTTCCCAGCCTCATGAAAGGACTGAAAAGGAAGGAGGACCAGGACCGGTCCCCAAGGAGGCACGGTCATGATGCAGCAGAAGATTTGGACCCTCTGCTGAGGGGCGATCATCCTCCAGATAAACGACCCGTCCGCTTGAATCGACCCCGGGGAGGCACTTTGTTCGGTCGGACAATACAGGATGTCTTCAAAAGCAATAAAGAAGTAGGTCGTCTGGGCAACAAGGAATCTAAAAAGGAAACTGGCTGTGCCGAGTCTGGGGAAAATGACCACTTGGCCGTCCCAGGAGGCAGTCAGTCTGTCCTGGCACCTTCCCGGCTTCCAGGTGTGAATAAAGAGGAAGAAACTGAAAGTAGAGATAAAAAAGAAGGTGCGTTCTAAAAATGTACAAAGTTCGGTAAATTTCTCTGCTGGCAAGTTCTTGGTAAATTTCCCTGGATGTTAGTTTGAATTTCGTAGTAAACCCTCTGTAAACATTAGGGATCCTAACATACCATAGGATCTCAGAGCAGGTCTTACATCCATGAAAATTTCCTTTGCTCTTACCTGGTTGATGCCTCCTACTGTTTGAAAACATTGCATCTGATACATTTCTGTCCCCGTTCTGTGATCCCCTAGATTCTCTAAGAGGAACTCCTGGCTGTCAGAGTAAAAGAAGTGAGAGCACAGACAGTCTTGGGGGCTTGTCTCCTGCTGAAGTCACAGCGATCCAGTGCAAGAACATCCCTGACTATCTCAATGACAGAACCACTCTGGAGAACCACTTTGGCAAAATTGCTAAAGTGCAGCGCATCTATACCAGGCGCAGCAAAAAGCTTGCAGTGGTGTATTTTTTTGATCATGTGAGTACTCCGACAAAGTTAAAGTGAACTTTGTCACTTTAAAACCTGTTTTTTAAAATCTATCAGTTATTTGCTTGCTAGAATTTAGAAAAGTACTCTAATGTCTTAACTTGGAGAGACTGGAATAGCACTATCTATTTCATAAGTTAGAGTCATTTGGGAGAAGCTTGCAGTCCCCACTGAGTGCGGTGTTCAGAAATGCTGGGCGAATGATTCCCGCGAGGTCACGTGGGAGTGTCCCTGTAACCACATAGCACTTTTTCAGGCTTGAGTTTTCTTGTTTTGTTTTTGATTTTGTTTTATGTGGTTATAGTACATGATCACTGTAAACGTTCAGAGCAATGCAGAAAAGGTAAAATCTTCTTGTAATCCCATCCTCCAGGGAGAACTGCTGTTAATCGCTTATATACCTTGACTTTAAATTTGTGTATGTGCACATATGCGCATAACACATTGGTTGTAGGGTGCACACTTACATGAGCTGCTCACGCTATGTAGCTTTATATATCTTGTTATTTTTTCTGAATATTCTTGTGGGGAAAAATTATGTTCTATAAAAATTTACAAAGCATGTTTTCATACTTTTTTAAATGATAGAAGTATTACCTGTCAACATAGGGAAAAAACCCAGAAAGTCCTATGGCAGGGGGCACAAAATCACCCATAGTTCTATCCTCTAAGATATCAACTACGAAGATCATGGTAGACGTCTTTGTAAATATATAGTCACGTTGTTTTTACGCAAATGGGGTCACAACCACATATACCGTTTGGTAACCTCTTCACGTGGTAATCTTTAGTAGCTTCTGAAATCCATGAACAGTGTAGATGAGAATGGGGTTGTTAAGTGCTACATGGCATTCTATCCTGTTTACCTACTTGGCTAACTTTCTGTTTGTGGACATTTTTGTGCATATGTTTCTGAATATATCCTTTGTTTAAATTCCTGAGAGTGGAAGTTCTGTGCCAAAAAAATGTACAGTTTTAGGGGGTTTGCCATTTATTCCCTTCTGTTGATTTTTTTTTTCAATTTAGCAGCATTAATTACGTTCACAGTGTTATACAGCCATTACATTGTCTAGTTCCAGAACTTTTTCATCCTCTGAAACAGAAACTCTGTAACCATTAAGCAGTAACTCCCCATTCCTTCCTTCTCCCAGCCCCTGGTGACCTCTCATCTACTTTCTAGCTCTATGAATTTGCCTGTTCTAGATACTTCAGATAAGTGGAATCATGCAATATTTGTCCTTTTGTGTCTGGCTTATTTCACTTAGCATAATGTCTTCAAGGTTCATTCATGTGGTTGTATTTCATTCTTTTATTCCATTGTATGCTACCATATTTTGTTTATCTATTCATCTGTCCACAGACGTGGGTTGTTTCCATCTTTTGTGTATTGCAAATAATGCCTCCATGAATATGGTGTGCAAATATCTCTTCAAGACCCTGCTTTCAATTCTGTTGGGTATATACTTAGGAGTGGAATTGCAGGGTCGTACAGCAACCCTCATTTTTTAAAAGTTATTTTCTAGCTATTGCAATGTGCTTTTTCTTCCAGCTGAACCCTAAAAAAGTACGTAAAAAATAAAATATATAAATACATTGTCATTGTAAGCGGTTCATTGATAATGGAAAGTTGAGGTCCTTCATCACCCCCATCTCTCCCGTTAGAGCAAGCACCAGTATCTAGCGTGGTGAGTGTTTTCCTAAACATTTTCATAGGTACATCTATAGGTATACTAACATATAGTTGGTTTTGTGTATGTATATTTTATGATAAATTGTACCCCGTGGGTGTCATTCTGCAGCTTCCTTTTGGGTTTAAGTGACTTGGCTGTCTTTCTGTTCCCGTACAGTAAGTCAGCTGGTGAGACTCATCTCACCAAATGCCAGTAAGGCCAAGTTTATGGGTTCTATCATGGTAAAGTGATGAATTTCGAAAAGGAGAAGGGCAAATACATGCTTGTGAGACAGGCAAGGTAGGTGAGGGCTGTGGCTGCCGGGGCTGAAGGCAGATGGTGTGGTCAGAACATGTGGCTGGCAGAGGTGTAGCTCCGCTGCATAGAATTCTGCTAATTGCATTTGAGAGCTTCATTTCCTTTGGCCTCCTGATGTCCTCGTACTTTGTATTGTGGACTGTTTTCCAGGCATCTGCAGCCCTGGCTAGGAAGAAGGGGAAAGGTTTGCATAAGGATATGGCCATCTTCTGGCACAAGAAAAAAACAAGTGAGTTTTCAGTTGATCTTTGCACAGTCTCTGCTGCTTTGTGTGCAAGGCCTTCGAGCTTTGAGTGGGGTGGGGGTGGGGTGGGGCTGCCTTGTAAT